AGGGTGTGGTATTGTTTGGCACCGCCAATAATAAACATTTACTGGAGAATGAAAGCTGGATAAAACTTTCGAACAAACGTCACTTTGAAGAATGTATAACTTATATGAAGAACCTTAAAGGAAACACCACTGGATACCTTCTGTCAGGTCTTTCATTAAAAAAAAAAAAAAATAGATGGAATGTCAATTTTATAAAGTATATGTGAACCTTCACCTTGCAAAACAACCCATTCAGTTTAAAATAAGTAAAAAGCAAAACATGATTGGCTCAAGAAGAAGCCCATTAAGGTCCTGGAGTGGCCTAGCCAGTCTCCAGACCTTAATCCAATTGAAAATCTGTGGAGGGAGCTGAAACTGCGAGTTGCCAAATTCAGTCACCAAACCTTAATGACTTGGAGAGGATCTGCCAAGAGGAGTGGGCCAAAATCCCTCCTGAGATGTGTGCAAACCTGGTGGCCAACTACACGTTTGACCTCTGATTGCCAACAAGGGATTTGCCACCAAGTACTAAGTCATGTTTTGTGAAGGGGATCAAATACTTATTTCCCTCATGAACATACAAATCAGTGCATCATTTGTTAGACATGCATTTCTTTTGAATTTTTGTTGCTATTCTGTCTCTGTGTTACAATACACCTACCATTCGATTTCTAGACTGATCATTTCTTTGTGAGTGCGCAAACATTCAAAATCAGCAGGGGATCAAATACTTATTTCCTTCACTGTATATATACATATAACAAGGGGGGGGGGGGAGTATTTATGATGCTTTTTTTTATAAGTGATCACGTCCCCTCTATTCACAGCTGTATAAGAAGCTGAGGGGGAGAACCAGCAGCACACTGGTGTTCCCAGTCAATGGTGTGGGGGTGGGGGAGGGGGCTTGTCAGCAGAGGCCTGATTATTGGAGTAGAGCAGGCTGAGTTCTTTTAATAGGAAAGTGGAGGGACTGGCAGGAACAGGGATTTCACACTAAGGAAGCAATACAAAGTGAAAAGGATACTTTTTCATACAAGTACATGGTACAGCAGGCACATATCAGGAATATGACATGTCGGGTTTACATATTCTTTATGACTGACATGTTACACTATGCTAACTTCAGTAGATGCAGATGGCAGGGAAATGTACAATGTAACAATGTTTCAGCAGTTGGAAAGTGTTGGTGGTCTGTTAGCCCTGCTTTAGATACTTTGTGTGTGTTTTTTTATTAAAAAAAAAAAAAAAAAAAAAAAAAAGGCTCGCCTCTTGTAAGCATTGATTAGTCCGCTCTTGATACACTACTAGAAACTGATTTGTTGCCATGGGTTAATGTAGAACTGTGTCTTTGCTCGGTGTTGTGGTTATTGCCTGCCTGCCTTGCCTTGCCTAGATTGTGGCTTGTTTTGCTCATTTATTCAGTGCTAATACATTTCTCAGAACTTTGTACTGTGTACACGCCATACATATCAGTCCTGCCCCGCCAAAGGACAACATACTAGGCCAGTCGAAATGCTGGAACATTTTGAGCCTTCCCTGCCTTTTTTTCGAGTTCACAGGTGTACATGGTAACATATAAAGGGTAACTCCACTTTTGTGGGGGGAAAAATAGCAAACAGAAAAAGTAATATAGCATGCAGTGCAACCAGAAAGTATTCACGGCGCTTAACTTTTGCCACATTTTGTTATATTACAGCCTTATTCCAAAATGGATTCAATTCATTTTTTTCCTCAACATTCTACAAACAATACCCCATAATGACAACGTGAAAGGAGTTTGTTTTGAAATCTTTGCAATTTCTAAAAAAAAAAAAAACACATGTACATAAGCATACACAGTCTTTGCCATGACACACAAAACTGAGCTCTGGTGTATCCAGTTCCCACTGATCATCCTTGAGATGTTTCCATAACTTGAATGGCGTCCACCTGTGGGAAATTCAGTTGATTGGACATGATTAGGAAAGGCATAAACCTGTTTTTATAAGGTCCCACAGTTAACAGTGCATGTCAGAGCACAAACCAAGCCATGAGGTCCATTGAATTGTCCGTAGACCTCCAAGATAGGATTTTGTCAAGGCACAGATCTGGGAAAGGGTACAGAAAAATTTCCACAGCATTGAAGGTCCCCATGAGCACAGTGGCATCCATTATTCATAAATGGAAGAAGTTTGGAACCACCAGGAAACTTCCTAGAGCGGGCTGCCCAGCCAAAATGAGCTATCGAGGGAGAAAGCCAGGGAGGTAACCAAGCACCCAATGGTAACTCTGAAAAAGCTCCAGCTTTTTTTCTGTGGAGAGAGGAGAACCTTCCAGAAGAACAGCCATCTCTGCAGCACTCCACCAATCAGGCCTGTATGGTAGAGTGGTCAGATGGAAGCCACTCCTCAGTGACAGGCAAATGGCAGCCCGCCTAGAGTCTGCCAAAAGGCACCTGAGGGACTCTCAGACCATGAGAAACAAAACTCTCTGGTCTGATGAAACAAGGATTGAACTCTTTGGCCTGAATGCCAAGCATCATGTCTGGAGGAGACCAGGCACCGCTTATCACCTGGCTAATACCATACCTACAGTGAAGCATGGTGGTGGCAACATTATGCTGTGTTGATGGTTTTCAGTGGCAGTAACTGGGAGACTAGTCAGGATCGAAGGAAAGATGATTGCAGAAATGTACAGAGACATCCTTGATGAAAACCTATTCCAGAGCGCTCTGGACCTTAGACTGGGGCGACGGTTCATCTTTCAACAGGACAACGACCCTAAGCACACAGCCCACATAACAAAGGAGTGGCTATGGGCCAACTCTGTGACTGTCCTGGAGTGGCCCAGCCAGAGCCCAGACTTGAACCCGATTGAACAACTCTGGAGAGATCTGAAAATGGCTGTGCACCGACGCTCCCCATCCAACCTGATGGAGCTTGAGAGGTACTGCAAAGAAGAATGGGAAAAATTGCCCAAAAATAGGTGTGCCAAGCTTGTAGCATCATACTCAAAACCACTTGAGGCTGTAATTGGTGCTAAAGGAGCTTCAACAAAGTATTGAGCAAAGGCTGTGAATACTTATGTACATGTGTTTTTTTTTTTTTTAATTTTTAATAAATTGCAAAGATTTCTAAAGGAACTTCTTTCACGTCATTATGGGGTATTGTTTGTAGAATGTGGAGGAAACAAATGTATTTAATCCATTTTGGAATAAGGCTGTAACATAACAAAATGTGGCAAAAGAATACTATCTGGATTCACTGTATACTATTGTGACATATGTCATATTGTAATTGAATGTAATTAAAAATCACCTTTCCCTTTCAAACTGCAGCAGTGTAATTTTCTGTAAAATGCAATGCAAAACGGCAACCTGGAGGCTTGCTGTAAACAGTTGGTGTACAGAATGCCCCATGGAAATGTACTGGTAATTTCCGACTTGTTTTGATTGCTTACTGATTTTTCCAGAAATCTGCATCACATCTAAAGGGATTGCTGATTTCTCCATTAGAGTCCTGTAGCTGATTGATGATTATAAAACCACTCTCATAAAGATTCACTCTGCATGTGGACACAGACAAACAAACAGCTATTTCTTCTGAATATCAAGAGGTAGGAATCTTCAACAAAGTCTGTTAAAATCCTTGCAATATACATTGCTCACCCAGAGAAGAATGTTTTTTCTTTTTTTCTCAACAAAAGTCAAGTTGCTCTTTAACTCAATTTTGAATACAGGAAAAAGGAAACCTCTCATCCTCAGGCTGCATTCACACTTGAGTGTCTTTTGGTCATTTTTGCAGTTTGCATTTTTTTGTGTGCGTTTTGTACAGTCGTTTTTTGTGGGCTTGGAATTTAATTCTTTTTAGCCACTGAAAAGCTAGCTACTAGAAAAAAACACGTGATAGCTGCATTTTTTTTCAAATTTTTCAGATGTTCCAGTTGAAGTCTGTTGGGGCTAACTATGCTGAAGTTTGTAGCTCAAAAGAAGCTCCATATAGGTTTTTGAGCTTCAAGCTTCTAGCAACACTACGCTCAGGTGTGAACAGGCACAACTGAAAGTCATGGGATTCAGGATGTTGAGCAGTTTGAAATTAAGCTACAAAGCGCTTAGGTGTGAATGGGTCTGATGCTAAGCAAATGACTATAAAAGGTCCCCTTCACATATCTCTTTAGTGAGAATCTACCTTCCCGCTAGCGATTTTAATTGTGTGATTCACATGCAGAAACACTTGTGCATAGGGTAGCCCATTCACTTGAAGTGATTGTCAGGTTTCTCCTGCATTTTGTTGTGTGACAATCTCGCCACTGCATTTTAGAATGCCCTTCAGGATGAATGGAAACCATTGCTCATTGCACATTTTGCCGAGCTTGGGCGTTTTGGATTTGCTATCCGGTGCGGAACAAACGCAAGATTTGCTGCATTTCCTGCACCGCATCAGTGTCAACCTGGGCTGAAGGTTATGATCTTTATTTGTAAAGGTAAATAGTTCTTTACTATAGTTCTGATGATATTGTGTTTATTTTTTACACCCGCTTACATAAGGCTTTAAAGCTTTAGACTCCAATATGCTTTATATAACTTTAGACTTTATATGCTCACAAAATGCTGGATGAACAACGCTGATAATAGTGTTTTTGTGCTGGTTTGTAGTAGCATTTTAGTAGAATTCGCTTTTTATTATCGTTTTTACAGTACATGAAGGAAAGAAAAAAAAAAAAGCTTGAAAAAAGCTGTTAGGAACATTTTAACCACTTGCCTACCGGGCACTTATACCCCCTTATTTACCAGGCCAATTTTCAGCTTTCAGCGCTGCTGCGCACTTTGATTGACAATTGCACGGTCATGCAACATTGTACCCATATGAAATTTTGATCATTTTTTTCTCACAAATAGAGCTTTCTTTTGGTGGTATTTAATCACCACTGGGCGCTTTACTTTTTGCGCTATAAATAAAAAAAGTGCAAAAAATTTGAAAAAAAAAAAAAGTTTCTTTGTTTCTATTATAAAATTTTTCAAACAGGTATTTTTTTCTCCTTCACTGATGTGCGTTGATGAGGCAGCACTGATGGGCACTGATAGGCAGCACAAAAGGGCACTGATAGGCAGTACTAATGAGGTGGCACGGATAGGCGGCACTGATAGACCGCACTAATGAGGTGTCATGGATAGGCGGCACTAATATGCAGCACTGATAGGCGGCACTGATAGGTGACACTGATGATGGGTACTGATAGTCGGCACTGACTGGCATCACTGCTGGGCACTGACTGGCGGAACCCCTGGGCACTGACTGGTGGCACTGACTGGCAGCACTGCTGGGCTGCACTGGTGGGTGGGCACTGGTGGGCAGCACTGGTGGGTGGGCACAGGTGGGTGGCACTGCTGGGCACAGGTAGGTGGCACTTCTGGGCACAGGTGTGTGTGACACTGCAGAGTGGCACAGGTGGGTGCACTGCTGGGCACAGGTGGGCGGAGCTAGTGGGCGCACTGCTGGGCACAGGTGGGCGGAACTTGCGGGTGGCACTGCTGGGCACCGATCATCAGGGCACTGATCATCAGTGCCCTGATGATCGGTGCCGATCCCCGCTCTGACAACTGCCGGTTCTCGGCAGTACTTTCCTCACGATCTGACAGCGTGAGGAAAGTGCAGCCGAGAACCGGCACTTGCATTTCCCTCTGATCAGCGTGTCATTGGACACCGCTGATCACGTGGTAAAAGGCCGCTCTGATTGGCCTTTTACCACATCACGTGATCAGCTGTGTTCGTAGGACACAGCGATCACGGAGATCGCCGGGTGCGCGCACCCTGGGGCGCGCAGGAGAGCATGTTCTGGGAGGACGTCATATGACGTCCACTCAGAACTGGCCGGCCACAGTGCAGCTGTCATTCGGCTATCTGCGGTCGGCAACTAGTTAATAGCATTTTAGTGGTTTTATTTTTCTTCTGGAAAAATGCTCCCGAAAACTCTACAAAAACAATTTTTCTTTCTGCTCCTAAACGCTGAAGCTTGAAAAACACTTCTAGCATAAAATAGTGTGCATGGACACATAGCATAACATTATTAGCCTCTAAGAGCAGAAAAAAATGCTCATAATAGCTTTTTGGAACTTGAAAAATGCTAGTGTGCATGGAGCCTTATTGGGTGTGGATTGGTTTAGGTTTTCCTCTGTTTTTTTTTTTTTTTCAGCTATACTTTGTATCCTTATATGTAGATATGTTGTAACATTTTGGATCCAGAGTTTATAGTTGGTTGTTTAGCAACAGTAAATGTCTTTTGCATAGACTTTTGAGGAGCATTAAAAATGCCCCTCAAATGCCTTCTTTCAATGGCAGTGTGAGCTAGGCCTAAGGTTGACATGTTTCCTTTTACTTTGTAGTTTAAATGATTGAAAATTGTTACTTTGCCCACATCTGAACCTAAATAAGGGCAAGAACATCCGAAACGGTCTTTCCATTGTTTGCCATTGAATTTGACTAAAGATTAAACAGAAAATTCAGTAATAATTGTGCCGCATCCCTATCTCTTCTAATAAATGTTGGGCAGATGGAAGTCCATCTGATGTGTTTACATAGAGATGAATGTCCAACAACAAGTTACTCGCCACTTTATAATATCTTGTAATATTAGGGAGCCTGGATCATCAGTCAGCCATGTTGGCAAAATCAAATCCGTATTATTTCTCAAAAGGGAAAAAACTAAATTGGCTTGTTTGCAGCACAAAATAACAGTCCAGACTCCCAGTGCAAAATCAAACTTTTGGCTTACTGCCCACATAACTTGTCCTTTAACAGGGTTACCTCCTCTCCTGCCTCAGGGATTCAAATGCAAGATCACCGGTTACTTAAACCCGGAGAAATACAAAGCCTGATTTTGACAGGTACCTGCTCCTCGGCATCGGCAATCGGAATTGGAAGCTGTCCTAACTCCCTCGCGGTAGTCTTCTGGGACACGACAGGTCCCGGAAGACTACGGGACAATTCACAAGATGCAGCGCCTCTCGTGCATACACAGTGGGCACAAGGCTGTGAAGCCGCAAACTGTCACATCCAGATGCCCACACTTAAGAAGGACGTACTGGGGAGCGAGGACGCCAGTGAAACTGGATGAGGTGAGTAGGACAGGTGAGTGGCTGTTTTTTAAAACCCAACAGTATAGCTTTTGTAGCTGCTGACTTTTTTTGACTGGAGCTCCGCTTTAACAGTCTTGGAATACTGTAAACAACGAGTGCAGCGCTAAAATTCAAATGAAGGCTAACTCGGTAAAATGTATAAATAACAAATTTAAAAGTTCATATATTAATAGTGGTGATAAAGGATTTCAACCGCAGCGATATTAAAGTGCTTGTGCTTTGAAGGTATAGTAAAAATGCGCACTCACCAGATATGCATTGAATATGCGCATATCATTATATCTCACATGGTCCACTTTACGGAACAGGATATGCCAGGCACGTGGTTAACTTTCTTCAGGGTATTAAACAGCACAGCAGAAACTCTCGGGTTGGGTAGGTGGTCAGCTCATCCAGAGGTCCCCTTTAAGGATAGATGGGTCTGCAGCCTGTATTACAGGGACTCCCTCCTCTGGGTACTGGAATGGGCCAGGCTCACAAGTAGGCTCTGTGAATCAGTAGCTCCATCAAGGATCCAAACAAAAGGTGCCATAGTGTGGTATTTAAAAATAATAATGTTTTATTCCATGGAAAATAGTATAAACAAATCAATGAAAGTGACAGTATTGCAGTTAACTCAGCACTGACCAAACTCAAAGATGGCCGCCGGACCTTCACGAGGCTTCGGTGGCGTGACGTCACGACGTGTTTGGTTCCTTTAAGAGGAGGGGACCTCTGGATGAGCTGACCACCTACCCAACCCGAGAGTTTCTGCTATGCTGTTTTATACCCTGAAGGACATTAACCACATGCCTGGCATATCCTGTTCCCTAAAGTGGACTGTGTTGGATATATTTATATGCACATATTCAATGCGCATCTGGTGAGTGTGCATTTTTACTATACCTTCAAAGCACAAGCACTTAAATATCGCTGCAGTTGGAATCCTTTATCACCACTATTAAATGAACTTTTATGAACTTTTAAATTGTTATTTATATACATTCTATTGATTTAGCCTTCATTTGAATTTTAGTGCTGCACTCTTTGTTTACATTTGGCAGAGGTTTTTTTCTGGTTACCTTAGTTCAATAGCTGCTTAATCGTGAGCACTCACTGTGTTTTTACTCCAGTCTTGGAATACTGTAATTCATTTTTCCCATTTATAACTGGAATCCCTCATTCTTCATGGTTGAGAACCCCTGAGTACTCCAAACTGTACTCAAATTTTCCCTCTTAAAGAAAATCTAAACCAAACATTTCATATTTCTGATATGTACCTGCTGTACCATATACTTGTATGAAAAAGTAAAAGACCATGCTAAGCATGAGCGCACAGCATGGTCAGTTCTCTAGCTGTGCTGGGAACTCAGTCTGCTCTTCTCCAATGATCAGGCTTGTGCTGATGTTGCCACCTGCATATCGATGCACTGGGAAGACCAGTGTTTTCTCTACCCTCACCTCTCTTCTATGCAGCTGAGACTAGGAAGTGTATGATTGCTTAAAATATAAGGGGGGTGTTGGGGAGGTATTTGTAAAGTGTTTTTTTTTTTTTTTTTATATATCTATACACAAATGTTTTGCTTTTCATTTCTATGGGTTGGGACTGAATGGGTTGTTTTACAAGGTGAGGATTTACATACACTTTGGGACCATAGCCCAAACCGAAGGAGACCTGCATTTCATGTCCAGGACACATTATTATATGTAACCTGCCAAATGATTTGTAGTTATGTTCACCCAGTTCTGGCTGCTAGTGCTGGCCTGGCCCTCCATCTCTGAATGCTGCTGTGCAGAGGATTACAGGAGGTTGTAAAAAAAAAAAGTCTAAGTACTTATGATCGTTGCTGTTTTAAAAAGTATATTCGCTACTTTTTGAAATATTTACCGGTACATTGAAAAACGTCTCAGACATGTTCTTGCAGATTCCTTATTGGTCTGAAGTTGGCATTCCAGTGCAGCAAAGCAGAGTATTAAGGGCTGTACCACAGTAGTGGTTACTATTATTATTACAATTCTGCACCAACAGCCCTAATACCCGTATTCTGCACTCCTGACCGTGTGTGTGTGTGTGTGTGTGTGTCCGTGTGTGTGTGTGTGTCCGTGTGTGTGTGTGTCCGTGTCCGTGTGTGTGTCCGTGTGTGTGTCCGTGTGTCCGTCCCCGCAATGAGTGTTGTTCTTCAGTGTACACAGATAATGTTCTGTTCTCAACGTCATACATTTGCCTCCTCTGCATTTTTGTGGATTGTATTTGTTAGAAAGATTCCAGTATGATTAGAATGGCTCATTCTGCACTAAGAAATTGAATGTTTTTAATGGGACTTACAGAAATTAGGATGGATGCTATTTATCCAGTAGCCAAAGAAGATAGGCTTTGTTCATGATTTCTGTAAATGAATACATTTGCAAACAAATCAGAAATAAAATGCACAAGTTTGAGTATATAACATGTTTAAACAGCTGTTTGTAGTTTTGGTAAATCACTGTATAATATTAGGCTGTATTTGTGTTATAAATAAGTGGCCCTGGAAGTTCAGTTGGCCAGGGGTCATACAGAAAAAATAACTTGCGTGGCTCCGCCCACTATCCATACAGGCATAGTTGACACCTTCTTAATTGATAATGGAAGTGATGACACTGTTATTATTCGTTTATTACAGGTACTTATATAGCGCTGTCATTTTACACAGCACTTTACATATTTATTATGCAATCACATCAGTCCCTGCCCCCAAGAAGCTTACAATCTCAGCTTCCTCTCATTCATACATGCACACACTAAGGCCCATTTAGACAGGATCCATTTAACCTACCATCATGTCTTTGGAGTGTGGGAGAAAACCAAAAACTCCCATAGGAACAAGGAGAAGATGCAAACTACAGTTAGTGCCATGGCTGGGATTGGCACAGACAATCCTAGTGTAGCCAGGCAGAAGTGCTAACCGCTTAGTCAGTGTGATGACACTTCCCAGTGGATTAAAGTAGACAAAAGCATTTTTTTTTTAAATATCTGTTTTTATGTTTTTTTCACATCCTTTGTTGCATCCTAGCAGTACTGATCTCCTACAAGCTGTTTGTAGCCATTTCCTGTCTTTATGCATACATGTAATTGTTGGTCACATGGCAGTTCTAAGGGCTGGTTTCCAGATGGTGACAACAGTGGACTGTCAAGTAAGTGGTGCTCAAGATGAGCAGAGATGAGGAGAAAGAGGGATAAAAAGCTATAAGAGAGATCCTTCTAAGGGTAGTATTCAGGTGTACATATGTAAAACGTATGGGGAAAAGTGTAGTAAGCATATACTCATGTAATATGGTTGTTGGGTACCTGTCCTAGGGT